GAAATCTATCATACCAAAATCGGCCACAAAATATTGAACTGACAATCGAAATTTTCATGTTTGTTTAACTCAAATAAATTAGAGAGTCGATTGGGCGCAAGGTTGTCAATATATCGAATTTATACATGGTTCGGTTAAAAGCACTCAGAATATGAAAAATTTCACGTTAAAAACAACTTTTATCCATCCAATTCAAAGATAAGATGTATATTTGTCTTAATATATGTCATATACGTGCAATGAAGTAATAACAGTTGAATAAAATGCTGAGGTAAATCATTTACCTGTAGAATGCACTCTTGAGGTTTAAAACGTGAGCGATTTACGGCAAACGTGACGGCAAGCTCCTGTTCACATGGTTTCTGGCGGTTAGCGGTTAGACGTTTGCGAAAAATACGTCAATCTCTTTGCTATTGAGTTATATCAACACGGCTCTTAGCCGGTAAATATTATAATAAATTATAATATTTACCAATTTATAGCTTCTCTGGATTACAGTTAAACGTTTTTTGAGCTTTCAACTTTCATGGTAAGTCGAGTTTTCACCAGAAGGATTGATTGAATTTACGCGCTGTTGTCGACGTTGTCTGTGGGAACGTCTGATTGGTTAATGATTTTAGTAGGTTGACTGTCATTGACTACTATGGAATGCGAGTGATTATTATCATCATTGGAGTGGGTAAATAAGGATGAATTTGGAGTTTTGGAAGCGAAAACGTAAGCTCAAAAACTTTCATCTAAAATCCAGAGAACGGTATATAGTTTGTAATTATGATTTAATAAAATGCCTTGATTAAAAATCTTCGAGTCTATTAAACCGTTGAATATATAGATTTTGAGTAGATAAATAGTAAACATGCAAATAAATCACTTGGTGTATTCAGATTTGTTCCTCAGCCTTTGTATTTGGGACTAATATCATCAGGAAAATTACATTCAATTGTAATTGATATGCAGTCCGACAATCAATTACTCAACTATGCACAATTAAACTTCATTTTTATAAATCTCCACATTATCCTCTTTCGGGTTATTTAATCACTTTTTTATGTGCATTATCGAATCATAATTTTTATACATTATAAGATTCTGCAAGCTTTTCCAACAAAATTATAGGTGATGCATTAATATATCAACCCCTATATATATGAGGTTATTCACTATTTTCAACAACCAAATTCCAGTAAGCTTGACTGGAAAGTTACTGGAATGAACAGTTTCCTCGAAAGGATTATCAACTTTTTTCGGTTGAAACGTTTTATATGCTGGAAAATTCCGTTTACACCTTCTGCATGCTTTCTTACCATTTCCAAGTTCTTCGGACTATAAGTTTATCACTGTCATTCAAAATCTGCAAAAATGAGCAATTTTATTAATTCCGATATATCAGAAACTATTTTGAGAAAATGGAAAGAAGCGCATGCTCTGTGTTTAGGTTTGATAAATTTGCACGTTTTTAATAAACCAGATCCACGGGAATCCCAATTGAAAGTAGTTCATGATGCCTGCTCTGCAAAATTAAGCATAGTGACGTGATTGGAAGGTTCGGTATTTATCAATGGTGAAGCGGGCCATAAAATACCCCCACCTTTTCTGTGTTAAATGTTATATAGTTATTAATTAATAATTTTCTGGCAGTTTCGGCAACACAGAAAACCAAGCTGAACCTGACAACAGTTTCCCGATGATGGTTTAATATATGCAAGTAAGTGATAAATATGCTCAATCATAAATTCGAGCAGTTTTACTCAATATTTTGAGTTACTGTGCAGTGTGCATTATTTTACTCAAGTTTTCGTGGCATTTGTTTTGGTTCTGCAGCGAATTGTAAGTGCTATTTATTACAACATGAGTGGCCGTGAACACGGACGCGAAATAGCTTGTGAAACGTCTTCATGAGAATTTTCATATTCTTCAACAATTTAAAATAAATGAACGATATTTGGAGAAAAAATCGAACTTCAAATTTATGTAAAGGCACATGATTCTATATCAGATATACATTGTGCATGTGGAGGAGTTTGTATATCTGATATAGAATCATGCTGATTTGCATAAATTTGAATTTCGATTTTCTCATCAAATATCATTAATTTATTTTCAATTGATTTACTTTGTGCAAGGTTTATGGGTGGTCCTCCTCACCGATCTCCAAAATATGCTGCTTGCCAGATTTCAATTTTCAAAAACAAATATATCGTACTACAATGAGAAATCTGTGTTTGCAGATCAAGTAATGAGAAGAATTGATTTACTATGGGAAATCATATAATATAATATTGGGCAACTTTGCTTTGAATTTTCAATGTTTATGGATTTTGTTGCTCTAATTTTATGCCTAAAACTTGCACTGCTTTTCTTTTGAATGAAGCGGTAGATTTTGGAAGTTACCGTGTTTAATTTAATTTAAGAAAAAGAGGTAAAATGTAAAGCAGAGAAAATTAATTTGAAGACCGAACAGAAATTACTCAACAACTTAATTAAGTACAAACAGACGCGTTGTCCGAAAGCTTGGGATTTTAGAGTTTTTTGTTTTATATTTTAGTTAAATTTTAGCTAGTACATGCACTTTGCTGGCGTAACATAAAACCAAATAATATTTACGAAGCGTTTCAGATTAAATATTATATTAAAGAGGCTGTCAAATCCGTTCTGCTCATGCGCGTGTTTTGTTTACATTTTTTGTTTCAAACTGATAGATAATTCAATTACATTACGCATTCAGAATATATTACAAAGGAAAAATTGAACTACTAAAGCAAAAATTCGGGCGGCCCCCAAACAACAAATTTTAAATCGAAAACGCTAAGAAGCACTTCTTACAGAGGTATGGACAAAATTTGATTGAAATTTGTACACATTTAGCTCCAAAACGACAAATTTAAGAAGATTGAAAATGTTAAGAAACATGTCTTTATACAAAGGTATGGACAAAATTTCTACAAATTGCAGTCAAATTTTGTCCAGACCTCTGTTAGAAGTGCTTCTTAGCTCAGCATTTTCCATTTAAAATTTGTTGTTTTGGGGCTAAATTTTTGTTTTAGTAGTTCAATTTTTCTAAATTATCTATTATTTGAAACAAAAATGTAAACAGAACACGCGCATGAGCAGAACGGACTTGACAGCCTCTATAAACATAACTACATAGTAACATACCTACCCCACAGTATATATTTCGGAAATTCATTGGTGTATAGTTAAAAGTATTAATCTCTCAACTATTTTATACAAAAAATATTTAAAAAATTAAGTAATATCGCGTTGTATTGTTGTCATGGCAACACATGACGCAAACGGGACCCCTGCGTCCCCTCACTTCCGTGTTAACAAGTTATTAATACTTATAATTCATGTTACACCTCGAATAGGCAAACCGAGACCACTTTTGGATATTTTTATGTTTTAAAACTAAGCCAAAACCAATCACCAGCGGGTTATTTTGACTAAACGTTTTACGGTTATGAACTTATGACATTGCCATAGGTCTAATTTACCCGCTGCTGATTAGTTTTCGATTAGTTTGAAAACGTTGAAAACATGTAAAAATGGCCTCGGTTTGCCTGTTCGAGCTGTAAATCAATTCGTGGAAAGTAGAAGAGAGGGGTTGCTGCATGCATGTATTTCTGATATATTGAATACTCGTATATGATTCGCCATTGTATAGTTTGAAATATTTGTTGGGAGTGGTTGTTATTTATTATTTATTTATTTATTTATTAGTTTCGCCATATTACAATACACAAAACTATAACAAGAACAAGAATAATATACATGACTATAGGCAGGGTGACCGCAACAGCGTGAGCCACTACTGCGAGCCCGAATTAAGACATACAAACATAAAAAAAAAACTATCTAAATAAAACTATAACTAATAGCAGCATGCACTTACTGAATAGGCTGAAGCAGAGTTCGAGCGGTATTACACTTGGTACATATAGTTTTGAATGTTCTTGGGTTTTCAGGATCGTAGGAAATTTCCAAAGCACGGAACTGAATAACTTAGAATAGTAGATTTAAATGAGTTCAAATTTATCATGTTAAGTTTCGGTTCGTCAGCTAGACTGTTCCACACCCTGGTTATTCGAGGTGATTCATCAGTAATTTGCTGAAACTTCGTTAGGGCGAAGTTTATGATATGCTCATAGTAAAAACACAAAAAGTTGGGGTCATGCACCGAACTCGTTTCGAAGATATGGCAATGCGATATGCCACCTTTTGCCCATATGGCGCCATGTTGACCCTTTTATGAGTTACAGGAACAATCGCAATTTTTTCAACAAGGATCCTACTAAAAATGTCTATCTAGTGATTAGGCTATACAAAAAACATGGTATTTTAGCCAATCAATAAAACGTCTCACTTACAACAATCATTTTTATAGCAAGGTTTAGTGCAAATAACCTATACCTATAGCCATTTTTGGGCATGGAAAAGGCAGTGACGTGCTATACAGAACATGATGTGCGAGGAGGACCGTTATTAGGAAACGGTCATGCAGTATTTGTTTCAGGAGTTTGGGACCAAACGAAAAATGGTTGGGTAACTGATATATTCATAATGTATAAAAAGTTGGGTAAAAATATATAAGACCGTATTTATACTAAAAGTATAATAATCAACTGATTACCAAAGAACGTCCTGCTAAAGCCAGAGAAGTATTACAACTGGTTGAACGTGCTTTTAGAACTTAATGATAAGTCGAAGGTATTTGAATGGTATATAAGTACTATAATGAAAACAAGTTAAGTAAGAAGCGAAAGAAAAATAAGATAAACTGAGCGCAAATACTGCTCACGCAAGCGTCTCGTTAGAGATCCATGGAAGGTGTTTTGAAGTAGCAGCAAGAAGAACAAGGGAGCAGTGATGTGGAGAGTAAATGAACATTATTGTGCAGGAGTTTGACACAACATGGGAACCTGAAAGGGACTCTGACAGTTATAAGATAACTGTTGGTCCAATCCCTCTTATTGCCCAAACTCCATATTATATCCTGGAAATTGGGCATTATCAGAAATGAAATGAAGATAAATTAAAAGGGAAACTGGAATACATGTGAAATTAAGAAAGATAAAATGTCTGTTAAAAGGCAACACAACGAACTAATTCTGCTAGGGTTGCATGGGTATTTATTTTCTGAAACAAAAACGTGGGGTATTCTACTATTCTACTCTTCGGCCCCAAACTCCGGCTGTAAATAATGACCATGCAGCCGTTAGTAAAACAGCCGCTTTCGATGTACTACAACTCATCAGTGTGGCTTGCAACCATACCGGGTGTCCCCCAAAAGACTAGTAGGTTATACACTGTTTGATTTCCTGTAACATAAAAAC